CGAGTGAACTCTCACTTAAGTGGATTGCTCGGGGTTCACACCACAAGTGCGAGTGAACTCGCACTTAGATGGAGAGCTAGGTGCGCACACCACTTTAGTGGATTGCTCGGGGTTCACACCACAAAAACCATTCACATATACGTGGATCTGCGGTTCCTCGACTGTTGCATTCTCCGAAAATACGGACATGTATTTCATCCTAACAAACCCTCCTGGTCGTGCTAAGGAATTCCCTATACAGTCTCGTATGTCGGACAGTTTCTTTTCCACCTCATGCCACAATGAAAAATCTTTGACCTGACCTGCTATCACCAAATCTGACCACCCATCTACACCGAGGTACCGCAACCGCACTCAAGTACCACCTCGTTCCGTGATACACGCACAACTGCATCGACGAGTTTCCTACTTTTGTTCGAAGTAGCCACACATAGCACTCTGGCGAAAGCACATCCGGCAACAGTCAACTGCACACAACAGTATGACACAGCTTGTGGAGAAATCTCGGGGCAACGGAGTGGGTACTGCTCCATAAATGAACAATTACGAGCGCAGTCCACCAACTCTTGTTTCAGCGAACTTCCCCAAGCTCGTGGCGAAGACCTGATGTAGTCGCAGTCAAGGCAACTGCTATAGCGGCTAATACAGCGGAGTGTTTTGCGCATACGGGTCAAGAATTTGGGCTTGAGGACACCATCAGGCAGTGTAATGAGGATCCCGAACTCTAACATATTGGCAAACTTGTAATGGTTTGCCCAAGGGCAGGCACACTCCATCGCGTTCCAAATACTGTCGCTGCAATCGTCAAGAGGTCGGTTCATGTACAGGACGACGGTCATCCATGGGTCATCTTCGAAGTCCTCTCTGGTTGCTTCGTGGAGCCACGTATGACCATTATAATGCCGCACCGATTTCGCGCAAGGAGGAAACGGTTTTGCTAAGCGCATGTGCGTCTCGGGACTAATGCTCATGCTTGTCGACGTTCTTGACGACATTATGCACCCTACACATCACACACACATATTAAACGATACATACGGACATGTAGACACTCGTAAATAAAGTTGGCAAATGATAACTTCCCTGGTGAGGCCAACACTCAGTCGTCACGTCCCGAACTGAATATTCACAAGGTTTCTACATGCTTTCAAATACAGGTATTGTACGAGCACACGGGCATGCAGCTCTGTCCGATGTGTTCGTGTACGACATTTTCTCCATTCATAATTCCCACTGATGGTACATGCCTATCTAAGTTAAACTATCTATAACACGTTTAACATCGGGATTCGTGAATACCCAACAAATGATGAAAACCCAACAAAACGTATAGACAAAAGCGAACGAAAATAAAAAGCTTTCACGACAGAAAAATGTGCAATCTTTTTAGTCAAATTGTTCGGAGTCAGTGCAAAAATAAATCGTTAGAGGTCTGTGGTGGCCTTCCTGTCGGACTAGGATCTGTTTCGAGCAGAGTTTCGCACTCCACAAACAGAATTGAACTCCAAGTCCCCCAGGTTATCAGTTGTTGGGCAGTCTTTGTTGCTCAGTCACAACCGGGACTAGGTTCGTGGTCGTTTCTGCTGAATGGCATATAAGCAAAGTGCGAGTGAACTCTCACTTAAGTGGATTACTCGGGGTTCACACAACAAGTGCGAGTGAACTCGCACTTAGATGGAGAGCTAGATGCGCACACCATAGGCGTGGTGATTTAATATGGACGTTTGCATGGACAAATCCATAAAATCGATTCATAACATTCACTCTTGTCATCGCAAACAACGATCCCTTCCTTGACATGATCATCTTTTCATCGAAAATATCCATGCATGCTATGACATGAAGATGAGAGATCGAAACACTTGCAACATCACTATTTCGAAAGTCGGAGGGATGAAGAGAGGGAAACACTTGCAAGTTGTCTGTTGTTTTTCTAAAGGTCAAGTTGAAGCAAAGTGCGAGTGAACTCTTACTTAAGTGGATTGCTCGGGGTTCACACCACAAGTGCGAGTGAACTCGCAATTAGATGGAGAGCTAGGTGCGCACACCACAAGTGCGAGTCATCAAATCTTTGCATGGACAAGATACATAACATCCATTCATATAATTGAAACGGTATTCACCAATTCGTGGTAGCTGAGG